CCCCCGGGAGGATGCGTGAATGTAGGCAAGCAAGGACGGAATAAGTCTAGGGTAAGTGTTGCCTCTATTCCATCACCTTCCTGGCGCTATCTCGGCTTCGATGACGTCCTAATGAAATCGACACGAACATCTTGGCATCGTGTACTAGTCACTCACCACGCCAAGCGCGAATACCGCATGGCGATTCTTCAGGCTGTGTGGGGTTTTGATTGTTCTCATAGTTCTATTTCCTTCTGCACAGCACGGTATTCCTCAGCTATCCTTCGAATTACCCTTTGCCCCCTGATATGCGGCTTTTGTCGGATGGGAGTCTTCCTTTTTGGAGCCGGAGCGAGATTCGTTGATAGGTTGTTGTTCCGTTCTATTCTGGATGTCGGCCTTGCATTCTCGGAATCTCGGGGAGCGGTAACCGATATCAGAGCTCCGCACGCTCCTCTACTCTCTTCTAATATGTTCAACAGAATCAATCAAACATGACAGATTGTCGCAATCTCTGGACGAAATTACATCGGCGGTTCCCTTGTATCGCACAGGAGGTGCAAGAGAATGACTGCCGGTATGAAGTGCGGGGTATCTGACATTTCTGTTTTGCAAAAAAAAAAAAAAAAACAGAATCTGGATAAGGCGAGGGGCAGCTTGAAGTTCACTGCGGTATGGTGAACAAGAATAACCATCTTACCCCTGGACCGATAGTCGATGACATATCCATGTGAAGGCTCCTCACATCTCGTAAAGTGCCTACCACGCCCGGTTTTCAAGGACGGGTACGTTTATGAAGATTTCCACATTCAACCGCATGATAATGAAATGTGTTCATTAGCCTGACGGCAGGCAGCACGAAGACGTGCGAAGAGTGGTCAGCCAACGCCCCGCGAAGTTATTTTTATAGAAGGTTTCATGTTTTCGTCGTGTTGATTGATTATTCGGTCGCTTGTTGATGTTCTAAAACATCTCACAGAATTTCTTCTTCTGTGGATTGGAAGCACCGCACGGCTTATTCTATGGAGGGCCGTCAAGAAGCTTTGTTCTTCGAGTACAACAGAGGCTCTGTCCATGCTGGGGGAACGAAAACTCTGGTGCTCTTGCTGCTTTCTCTTTATAAGCATCTCTCCGACCTGATTGTGAATCGTGCCTCAGTGGCGCAACATTCAACTTTACCTGCAGATCTTGCATCAAGAAGTCATATCATTTCTCGCACACTCCGGGTCTACAGTCATCACGTATGACCCTTCTATCTACCCGCGGATGGAATATATAGTGTTTGACGGGAATACATGATCGCGCGAGCGAGATGTCGCTTTCCATCCACTCCCAGTCTGAGCGTCAGACGACGTACTCCTCAGATTACTCGACCAAGGGCATTGATATCATGCCCAATCTGATTGACGCTCCTTATACGCACCACTTGATCGACGGTATGCAGGAGCCGGCCCCCAGCAGGGTGGCTCGGCCATTGTATACGTCCCACTTTATGGACCGGACAGAGACAATGAGGGAGTCGCGGAGTATGTATCTCAAGGTTGTAGGGGTAGGGGTAGTGGCGATGATTATTGTCATGTTTTCTGTCTTTTCGATATATTGGGGAGCGCTATGGAAGATTCCGGACCGTAGTTTGGAGGGATGGGTTGTGGTGAGCATCGATACTCGAGCATACTCTATTCTTCTATATTGACTGATGTTGATAGGATTTTGATGACTCGACAGTGGGGAACGCTGTTGTTCAAGCCATGCTATCATCAACATCATCCTCAGGCATAGTGAGTTGGACGAATAAATCAGCGAGTGAGTTTCCTGGTGGGGTGGACGATGTTGCGGCTGCGGTCCTAGATCAGCGAACGTGGGTAGCTGTTGTCGGTACGCGGTATTGATCATTGCCTATCAGAATCCTAATTGATTTTTCTCATCTGATAGTTCATCCCAACACAACGAGGCTACTGCAGTCTGCAGTCCTTTCCATGAACTCATCATATGACGGTTCGAATGCACTCACAGCGTATGCTGTTGAGGCCCGCAATGAGAATGCCTTGTGAGAATCCTTGTCTTCTTTTGTAGAATCCAACCTAATGCGCTTCTAGTCGCATCTTGATTCGACCTGTGATAGAAGGAATGCTCAATGCAGTATCCCTTGGAATAGCCAAATCCTTCGTGAAACAGGTCGGCTCGTCTTATCCACAAATAATAGCGAACATTTCTACGGCTGCCCCTCAAATATTGGCGCAACCCGTTGGATATACTCTGAATAACCTCCGACCCTTCGACGTTCCTGTGTAGGTCTCTTCCTGAGTTTTGATATTATTAACACTAACATCTATTGCAGTGCGAGTGCTATGACGTTTGTCGGTCTTATCTATGTGCTAGTCCTAGCCTTCTTTATCGTCGTACGTTTCCAATCTTTCCATTGGCGGCTTCGTCTGAATCTATTCCAAGAATTTCTCTGACGCAGCTCGTGAGATGTCAGGACTAGAGACATCCTTAACGACCTGGTCCCTCATTTCCCTTCGATTAGCGTCAAGCTTTGTCTCGTATTTTATGCTCGCCTTTTTCTACTCCTTGCTATGTTTAGCCTTCCAAGTCGACTTTTCAAGGACGTGAGTTGGTCCAATTCCCATAATCGTCACCGCTACCAACTCTGATCGATAAAATAGACTTGGAAGCTCGGGTTTTGTCGTGTTCTGGATGCTTAACTACGTTGGAATGTTGGCTGTAGGGCTATCGTTGGAAGCAATGCTCACCCTGCTCACAGCGAGATTCGTGGGATTCTTCATGATATTTTTTATTATCTGTACGTTTGTTTGTCTTCTGAAAGATGGGGCGATGTACCTGATTGTGCTGCTTCAGCGAACGTATCCGTGTGCTTCATGCCCCTGGAAGTACTTCCAGGCATATTCCGGTATGGCTATGCCTTCCCCTTCTATAACGTGTCGGGGGCAGTACGGACAATCATATTCGGGACGAAGAACCAACGTGAGTGGCCGTCATGTCCACATGTGTTTCCGCTCGCGCTAAACTGGGAGATATTTGTTTAGTGGGGTTGCAATTCGGTATCCTCCTCGCTTGGATGGGCGTGTCTTTGATAACACTCCCTCTGTTTCAATGGTTGTTCCGACGCGGTGCCGTGGCGAAAGCAAAGGCTGCGAGCCACCGGGCTGGAGAGAAGGACTCTTGACATCTCTTACTGATCATTCTTTAGTCTTGGATCAGTAATATAATTTCTCAGTGCTCACTTATGACCTTCACAGGGTTATCAGGGTGCAGTGAATAATGCGTGAAATACTACGTTTTCAATTTATCAGCGCAGTTATCACAGACCAGTAATGCATGACGGTTAATGTTATACTTTTGCGATCAAGGCGGAGGAAGTACGGATACTTCGGCCCGTTGGCCAATCGGGCACTGCCGTCGGCACCGTGATTCGCGGCCTCTCTATAATGGACGGCGACGACAAACCCAGCTGGCCGTCGCTGTACGACCCCAGCCTCGAATTCTTCGAAATTACGAATCACGACGCCGAGCAGCCTGGCGCAGTGTACCTCTACCGTTATGGTCAAATATTCAGCTTCACGTTATACTGGACTTTTGTTTTCTACACCCCTATCTTTATTGTCTGTGCTGCCGTTGCTTTCCTCAATGTCTTGTTCCCACCAGGATGTATACATAAAAGCGTTCGCCAGTCGGACGAGTATCCTTTGGTACCTCTGACGCCCACAAGGACAAAAAAATTGAATCCGCAGCGGTCGAGAGTCACTTTGGCGGCCATTGTGCTGCTGGTGTTCTTGGGTATCAGTGTCCTCAGCGTGGTATGTGGGGCAACGGTCGTCTCGCTGGTGTTGATGGAGTTGTTTCGGTCTGGCGGATTTAGTCTGTCTACGTGAGTTCCAGTATCGGTTTTTTGTGCGCTACAGGCTCATGTAGATATATCCAGTTGGGTGCCCTTTTTCGGTGCACTCATTCTCGTTCTTATCAGTCTTCTCAAGCACGTATCTCATTGCGTTTTCTCAGGCCTCTGTTGATCGTCTCGCAGTTCCTGGCCATCTGTAATATACATAATTTAATTTACAAGGCCCTCGACGTATCGACAAGCAGCTTTTGACGAAGTCTAGCTGTGCTCGAAATGACAGGCAGGGCGCATCCAGATAGAGGGACAGTACCCCGTACTTGGCTGCAGACCAAAGAACACAGCTTCTTTTACAGAGGTACGTCGTTCGTAACTCGTGCGAGTCGTGCAACTCAGTGTTAAATTTACAGACATGTGATTGCAAGGGTGTCTGGACTCATATCGGATCGACTCTGTAGGTCCCCGGTATAGCTTGTTAAAGTGGCGTACCCGGTGATCTCCGGGTGGACATTGCTTCATTGTCACCTTCAGAGATGATAGTTTGGTCCGAGAAATGACATGCAGTAAGGCTTAGTTCTCTAGTACTACACCCTTTCTCAATACGATTTCATTTGTGTTCTGCGTTCTTAAAACCCCTTCCCTTACCACGAGCTTTAAGATGCAGCGCTAGTGGCCACACAAAGTTGCCTACTCTTATATTCCTCACGATCGTTAACTCAGGGTCTGTAGTGCTAATAAGAAAGGGTTTCATTTTTCCCACCAGCCGGTATCTCAGCGACCTGATGTGCACTTTTGCAGCGTTATAAAGCCATCAAATACCGCCTCAAAAACACTTTCCGCGACTGGTGGGCAGACACATGACCCTTGCCTCTGGACCAGTTCAGTGTTTGATTTTCCTTTTTGCCGTTGGCGCCATCGCGTCCGAGTCGGCCTGACCTTAAGTTGTTGGTAGATTCCCTGAGCCATGCAGCGCAATGTTATTGATCGCGAATTCATTCCAATTTCAACAGCAGATTTGTTTTACTTTACAGTATCTTGCCAAAGTTCTGGTTAACACAATTTGTCTGGAGTTATGGATGATACCAGATCATAGTTTTTATTCTGTTTTTGAAACTTCCAGATGGCAAATAAGTACCTGGTGGGTAGAAATTTGACAATCTGAAAGGGGCACATGGTGTAGATGGTTTATCACGCCCGCTTAGCATCAATAGAGAGTATCTACATTGTGCGGGAGGTGTTGGGTTCGAGTCCCAATGTGTCCAATGATCTATATTATAGAGCCCTGGATTGCTTATATTGTGCTGTGTATCCGGTACATAATGCGCCAATATTTGTCTCCCATTTCATTCTCCACCATTTCATACCATAAGGACCGTCATGCATGAGAGGGAGAGAGAAGTTTTTATTCTGATCCCTGTCCCTAAGAAGGACTTAGGAGACTAACCATTTACCAGGTGCCCGTCTATGCATGTATTTTACCTACCTAATCCATTACGCCACTTGTAGGCTACGGTACTGAACGAATGTTGGGCCTCACTGATACGGTCATGACCCAGCAAGGTAAGGCCTCTCATCACAGGCGTCAACGCTGTGAGTCTTTCGATAGATATGCACTACAACTAAAGTCTTGCACCGGCAGGTATGTGCATCGGTTTCTGGACTACCTGGTCCAGTATTTCATAAACGTAGTGACCCAGCCTCGGAAATACGTTAGAATATGTCGAGAGAGTATGTATCAGGTCCTTGAGGGATACGTTGGATGACATTTTGAGGAGGAACGGCAGAGCGCGACGCGCTCCACGTGGTCCGATCACGATCATATGATAACGATCAATGTGGCTGTGCTAGAAACGACCACTGTACTGTCCACATATCTTACTTACCGACTACCTTGCTAGATCCTTCCACCGGTGTCCCGATGACTAATATACAAACGTCAATGGTCTATTTCGGCTCGCGCTCGTGTCTCCCTTGTATATGGATTCGTACCATGGTCCAACGCGGATCTATCACCAATCGAAATACTATCAAATGCACCTGTGCAGCAAACCGTCATTTACTGTTGACGGTAATTGGGGGCACTTGTCTCCACCATGCTACTAGGTGCCTATCTAGAGCGTCTGAGAACTCGCAGTTCAGAAGTGAGTGGAATAAGGAACTAATGTTCACGGCACTCGCGCTAACGATACCTTACTACTTGTATGGCTTTTATACTGCTGTACTACGTAGAATATAGTAGAATAAACGAGTAATTTATCACTAAAATACGAATGCGTCTCAGGGAATATGGGGAGAACGGGCCAGAAAATTCGTGCAAGCTCGAAAAATAGTGGCAATTCATAATCTAACAGGGCATCTGGCCATTGGCACAGATTGATAATTGACGTTACAAACACTTTCTCTGGTTTAAATGTTACAGCGCGTGTGCCAACTGAATTGGATTTCTGTACTCCGGAGGTTTTCCGCCGCGTGGATGGGTATCTCCTTGTCCTCTTTTCGAACTTGTTTTATCTTATAATACGAGAGCAATATATTACTTCGGTGGTGCATATTACAAAATGAGCTGTAGAACTCGATTGATAGCTCGCAAACTATACACATCATGCTTGGGGGCAAAGTAGTTCCCTAAAAAATCAAAATATCCTTTCATTCTGATGGAAGCCGGCGAGGCAGAATGGCTGGTCGTCCAAAATAATCGTAAGAGCTTTGAACGTAATGTTGTAGGAGTCCCTGTTCCCATTCGACTAAAACTCTCGATTCCTTCTCCAGCGCCTCTGGCTAAATATCCATCACCTCACGCAGCGGAGGGTCCGTCCATCCTTCCATTAGCTTCCTCAAGTACTTTAACTTTTTGAATCTTCGACTCCAATGCGTCGATAACATCCCGTACTTCGCTCGAACGGATTGTGGTGATGGGAAGGCATCAGGGAAACACCGCCTGACTTTTGTCTGTCGTTCTATTCTGAACGTGCTGTGTGCTCGGAGGTATTCATCTCCAGTCACCTGTGATCTGAGCGACCTGGCTGCGGCTCTGACGTCGAGGGAGAGGAGCTCGAAATGGAAGTTCGATTCGCATATCTCCCATACAAGCTCCACTGCCTCTTTCTTCTCTATCGGAAGGTTAAAGTTGGAAACGTTGAGGTGATTGCTCACGCCATCTTTGTCAGGTGACGGACCGAGGAATACATCGACTTGTTTCTGAATCTCAGATGTAGTCGATGATTTTGAGGGAATACCAAGAAGATCGCGCGACTCTTCAGAAGAAAGTGGAAGGGCATCCGGTTTATCACAGCTCGCCCTGACTTCCAGAAGGCACTGATTTGCTTCCACATATGAAGATACACCACACACTCGCGCTCAGAAACATCAAGAAAAAGATGAGGATCTGGGAATAAATATCTGGCGTCTGAAGGAGGATGTTTGCTCTGCTGAGATTTGGCTGAGAATCGGTTGACTTTTATTGTATTTGCATGGGACCATGAGTTTATGGCAGGGGGAGCGTAGTCTCCAGTCAACTCCAAGAATCTATCAAGGTGCTGGGACAGATCTTGGGACCGGTCAGACAACGGTTACATAAAGTAGGGGATGGTCTTGCTTTTCGACGTGCTAGATGGTGGTTTCGCATAACTGAATCAGGTATAGCGGGTGCAAGTAGCGGTCAGTGTCCATCGGTGGTGCTAAAAAAATCTGCATAGATAAAATGATTGTACACAAATATTTTCCTGTTGTCGGATGCTGTGTCTCTGGTAATTCGGCTATACGGACCTATCGTCAGCTCTGTTTCAAAGGGAAGGTAGGTGAGACCGACAGTGTCAAGTATTTCTCTGTTGGAAAGGGTGCTCAGCGCCCGTATCAAGTATACCAACATTCCAGCACGAGAAAACCTTTTTGAGTCGTATTCCGACGTGGTAAAACCACCCATCAGATAGCATAACGCCGGTTTAGACAACCCACGGGGTCTATTGCGGGGTTTAATTGCGTCACGGAGAAACTGCAATCCAGTGCTATGCTCCGCATAGTTCTATCCAGAACCTCTGGATCATGCCAATCACGAGAAAATTGTCCCAGGGTCAAGCTTTGACGTCTGCAAGCGATGGATGCCCATGTTCATAAGCAATGGAATGTCTTTGACAATACGTTGTAAAAGATTTGGGCGTTTCGTCAAGTATTCCAAGTAACAATCCCGTGTTAATGTCCAGAGCTTGACCGGGGGATCTCATGCCTCCTCAGGCCTTTCCACGGCATATTTAACCGCCAGAAGTGTTCCGAGACTCTTACCACTCCGGATGAAGATCGATCCCCTTCTGCAGAAACGATATCCTTGTCGGTAGCGTTTGTCCACATGTACTTATACGTTAGATATGGATGAGCGACGTCGTTTCCCGTGGGGCAAGAAGGAATGGTTGCATAGATCAAAATTTCGGAGTCAATTTTTTGGGGAGCCTGGATGGGGTCAACCGCACCAAGTCAAAAGTCAGCGCAGCATAAAGGGGCAATCATTTGGAGGGGGTGCAGGTATATAAACAGAGTTAGGTGAGGTCGCAGTGGGGGTGAAGAGAACCACATAGCTTAACCTTTTCCGTCGGGACTACCTCTGTAAACGAAGGGTTACATTATTGCAAATACTTTGCACATATGCACACACGGTGGTTAGGGCTTGGGCTCAAATACTCGCAGATGTCCAGAATGTGGATGGATGGCATAGAATCGAACTGAACTTTTTGCGTCCTGAATAGCCAGCGAATGGCAATGAAACGGCGTTGATGAATACGTTCTGGTTGTCTTTATCAATCTTAGTGATTTCGTTAAAAAGGAATGTGTTGTATCAGCTACAATGAGTTATGCCTTCAAGCCACGGATAAATAGAGGCATACCTATGAGCGTCTTTCTAATCCAACGGACTGTGGACTAGAGACTCCTCAGGCTTAGTGGGCAATTAAAAAACTCAAGGCTTCGTAGGGACCTAGTGTGGCAGCGTCCAACAAGAACTTCAGGAGAGTTCAGGAATGTCTGTCGAAGGCAGCCTAAGATCCGGAAATAGGTAGCGTCGTGGCTCTGAGGGACAAATCCAACATGGAAAGTTTAGACAAGCTCAGTGACACCGCCGGGCCGCGGCATCACGGCAAGGGTAGCCGAGCTAAGCAAACAGACAATTTTTTGTTTTTTCTTCTCAACTTTCAGGTTTCTTTTTTCCGTTACTATGTCAATCGAAATTCGGATTAGGTCCGTCTAGCTGGTTGGAAAGTTTCGTCGTGAGTATATACTTCACCTTACGCCGCGTCATCTGACAAATACAAGTTGGCAACAAATTCGAATTCTAGCCACGGATCTTCCTTCCAAAATTTTATCATTCAATATCACATCTTGTCTAATACTTCCCGCGAGTGCGGTACAGATATCAGCCCCTTTCCTATGCATTCGTTTAATTGGAATCATACATGTTCGTGAGACCCCAAATCATCTCGAAATCATGAAACGGTAGGGTCCAATCTCAGCCTCATAATATTTCCTAACAATATGAGGATTTGAGTGACTTGTAAGCTCAACTGGAATTGTATGTTTTGAATTCTTCCTCGTTATCTTCGTCTGAAATGATACCACATCGCAACAGACATTCGGTTCCTCCTGATATCGCGGAGAAGTACAGCAATGTTGCTCTTAGTAACCAGGGTACATGCGCTTGAACAGAGGGTGAAATGACTGTCAAACGTTCTTCGGAGCAAGGTATTCGTTTTGCTGGGTTGATAACCATCGCTCTCGAAAGTCTAGAGATCTTCAGGTCGTAAGAAGTTCGCGCATTTTTCTTTCTCGAGTGATCAAGCATTCATTCTCCCGTTCGACAGAACTGAGAACATCCTCGCGGCTCCTATGTATCTGGAATATAACCCTGATGTTTCACAAGAAACCTTTCTCTTACACGACGTACCCCGCATGAGAAAGCCCCGGTATATTCAAACCGATGGGTGCGGCTTTCAAATTCGAGTGGCGTCGATGGCGCAAATCCACAAATTCTAGGTTGGCGTGCACTGCCTATGGATCTCGAAGTCATGTATCGACCGCTGTCTTGCCGTTTCATGCTCGCATGCTCGCGCAATAAAATGGCCTGAGCTCTCCGGTGCCAAGACATACACCTTGATGATATATAAACGATGTACAGTCGTCGATTCCTTCAGCTCGCTTTTACACCATGAAGTTCACAACTCTCTTCTCACTCATCCCTGCCCTCGCTGGGACCTTGGTCGCTGCCGGCACGTTCAACTCT